GACGCCATGCTTATCTGTGAAGCGACGCGGCAGTGGGCGTGGCTTGCCCTATTCCTAAACTATTACTGATTGTGAGAACGCAACGCGTCCGTAAGCCCCGCCCACCACTACTTTACTCCGCACACGCGCGCGCCTTGCAGTCGCATTATTTACGCCCCAACCCAATTTAATAATAATAATAAATAATAACAATAAATAATAATAAATAACAATAAATAATAACAATAAATAATAACAATAATAAATAACAAAAAATAATAATAACCCTGCAATTTCTCGACTTTCTTATCAATCTCCATAATGTGATCCGTTTTCTTCATCACTTCATTCAGTTCACTCAATAAAACCGTTCGATTGGCACGAGCACCTTAATAAATAATTAATATTATAACTAATAAATATCATTAATAATAATAATATTAATAATAATTACAATAATAATAATAATAATAATAATAATAATAATAATAATAAATAATAACAATAAATACAACAAACCACACCTCCAGTAACCACACCAGCCGGATTATATTCTGTCCCGTCCAAAGTCACTGATCTCACCCTAATATCCTCATCAAACGTCACCTGACAACAATAACAATAATAATATCGATAATAATAATAATAATAAACACAATAAAAATAAATAACAATAATAAANAAATCACCCCCTTCGCCACACTATCACTCATACACACCACCGCCCGTCCGAACACGTGCCTCATCGCCGGTTTCAATTCGTCCGCATACTCGATCAGATCATCCGCTAACATTACATTCTCTTTGCCGTACTTTAATCATTATTATTATTATAAATAAAATAAATAATAAACAAAATAAACAATAATAAAATAAATAATAAACAATAATAAATAATAACAATAAAAATAAACAAACCTTGCTCTGCGCCCTCTCCAGTTTCTTCGTGTCCAATAATCTGCCATCCATTTTATCCAGCGGCATCAAAGTCGTTCTGCGTTGCAGGCATTTGTTTGATAATAAGTCTTGGGCTGTTTTTGAGTCCTTTACGATCACATTCGATAACTGTAATTACATTAATCTATACATATAATATTACCTGGATTACCTGGATTGATATTACCTGGATTGGCAAGCAGGTGGCTATCATCAAACGTTTGTAACTAAAGTTGCCGGCCACAGTGCCCACGTTTTGTTTTAGCCTCAATTTACNAAGCAGGTGGCTATCATCAAACGTTTGTAACTAAAGTTGCCGGCCACAGTGCCCACGTTTTGTTTTAGCCTCAATTTACGCCGTTACCCGAAATCGTCACAAAAAACGGAAGAAATCACGAAAAATATTTTCAAAATACCGTACCCCTTAGAAGCCACGCCCCCTTTGGATCTAGACCCGCCTCTTTTCGATAAACTCCGCCCCTTTCAACACATACGCACTCACTCGCCAGTCAGTTTGAACTCGGAATGAATAGTGAAATATGCGTGAGAGGACAAACCCTCCCCTCCCAAGTGCCTCTCTCATATCCACCGCCTCTCTTTCTTTGACTCTCTCAAATTATACGTGCAAATCGATATTCTCTCGTCTTTCTTACCGTCTCTAATTTTATGTTCTGCTCTCGTTTCTGTTCTCTGCCCTCTCTAAGATCACTGTACTCTCATTATTTCTTAACTTCTCTCATCTGCAATCACAACAACAATAACAATAACAATACAACACCCAATATTCCTGCTACCAGCCGGCTGTCTGTAAATACCACCCACCATGCATCTCCACCCTTTAGTTTCTACGTCATAATCTCACTCTGCACTGATCTTTTTCTCTGACTCTCTCTCCACTCAACACACACCCAATCACCAC